CGTCAGAGGCTCCTGGATTATGCAATTTATTTATATTTTAATGCAGTTAAGTGTGGGGCCGGTTGGGAATCTGCTTTATTAATCTCAAATCGGGCTCCACGTCACCCACCCCGTTTGGGGGGGCGTGACAGAACATAGAGTGGAATTTCATGGGTTGGATGGACATGTAACGCCCCGCCCTACGGGCTTCCGTAGATTATCTGTAACTTTAAATCTCATTTAGAGTAATTAGAGTGTGTAATTCTCTCTGAAAAATAAGTGAATTCTCTCCTCCCTACAGTGGACGTAGCTCTTGAATCAAGGGTGAACCACTATAATTCTCGCGTGTTTTTACTATTTGATTGTTTTTAATTATGTTTTAGATCATTGACTTTGCGCAAACCGTTTTAAAAATTGTTATATTTCTGTTGACGAATTTTCACCGTAAACACATGTCTTCCCTTCTATTTATAGTTTTCTAAACACCATAATTGCCAACCAATTATTTTACCTCTCGTCATTAAAATAGTTGTTATATACTCTACTCTCTAACCATTCAAAAGGTTGTTATATTTTACGCTCCTCTCTCACTATTTGGTATAGCTAAAGATTATGAGTTACATAATACTACTTTTCTTCTTATATTGTTTTACCACTCTTAACTGTAGTGAATTAGAAGTGCCTTTTACTATCCTCATCCTATAATACTATACTATAACTTTTCTATAAGCTAAATAACTTTATTTTCACCCTTCGTTGGTGTATTATAATGCAATCCTAGTGCTTGCAAAGCTTGTTAGGCATGATTGTATTATGTAGCAGAACAATATTCCACATAACACCATTGTACTATGGGTTAACACAAGTATTTTACATGGCTAGTTAGTAATATGAAGTGTTTGATGTTACGGATAAAGTGTTCACCGATCTGACTCCTAAAAGGCCATATTACATCCAATCCTACCGTATCACATCCCATAAAATTGTTCTCTGAATTTTCATTCCATCCCCATTATACAGGAAATACCCCAAAACAACGACAAAAAGCCATCTTTAAGCATCTGTGAATGACTTTCTATCAAAACAGATCACATATAAAATGGCAATGAGCTTGGCAACGACGTCACATGAAAGACGACAACGACTCAGAAAAAGACATCAAATGGAAACAAAAATAGCAGGAAAACAACAATCATATGTGAACGACAACAGCATGATAAAGCGACATCTTAGAATGACTGTAGAGTCTGAAATGACATCCCATTGAAAACGACAATAACAAGATAAATGACAATTACTCACCAACGATAACAACATTGAAAAGATGACGTATTATCATGACTTGAAATGGAATCTAATGAAAAACGACAAATGGCTCATAAAACTTCGATGATGGATACCGTCGTAAAACGACATATTCTTTTAAACGACAATAACTTTGAAAACGGCAGTGACATATCAAACAACAATAAAGCATTTTCTGTTGGTTGTTTCTGATTCTATCAGGTTTTTCCTTCTTTTCTTTTTTGTTCAAATTGCAGGTCTTTTTTTTTATTATTATTAAAGCATTTTCTGTTGGTTGTTTCTGATTTTCATTTTGATTTTTGGGGATTATCGGTGTAGTCATCGTCGTCGCTTATATGGATCAGTTAGAACCCTAATATGTAACATATTTGTCTCACCAAATCATTTCTACTTTGGTGGTTTATCTTTTATTTATTTTATTTTCGTATGGTTTTTGTTCTGTTTGTTTATAGTCTTTCTGTCTACATTCAGCATTTAGCAGCATCTTCATATGTATAGTTCTTGCTTGCTTTATGTATGCCAGCTGGCACCAAAAGGCTTGATTTTTATTTTATTTTATTTAGTTTACATAAAGTTAGATGAAGTTACATTGTAAAACTCAAGTTTAGACATAGAAACCTGGATACATTTGGTTGAAAACTGAACCGTCCAGTTGTGACCACTCAATATATTGCAATTGATTATGGATTATGCACATTTTTATAGTTTCACACGATTTTCATAGGTTCTAATTAGAAAAAGAAGAGGAAAAAAAATTGGAGGGAAAAAAATGAAGCAGAAGATAGTGAAGCCGGTTGCCTCAACTGCAATCTTGTAAAGGTTCTGTGGTAATTTCCTTTTGTCTGAATTTTTTGTTTAAGCAATGGTTGGAGAGAGGGATTGAGGGAGAGAGAAAATGTAAGATCTAAAGTTTGCTCCTTTTTTTTTTCTTTTTTTTTTCTTTTCAATATAAAGTAGTTTAGGAAAAGTGTTAAAAGATGAGTTACATTTCAGACTTGATTTGCTAATACATATATGTATATGTATGTTATTTCCTTTTTCTGTGATGAACTCGAAACTGCCGCTTTCTGTGCTGAAGTTGCGCTTGTTATATGTTTAAATACCTTCTCAGTTTGTGTTGTGCTGAGTATGCTGACTTTTTGTTTGATTTACTTTATCGGATTAGGAATCTGCTGGTGATAATTGCGTTCATTCTACCACTGGAAAACCAGCAAACTGACCAAACCTGCTGCTGTTATGAGAAACCCAATTGCAGCACAACTAATGACATGGGATCTTTTCACAGGTACTGGAGGAGGTGGTTCTAGTAGATCTAACTGTAATGGTGAAAATTGATACTTTGTGGACCCATCTGAATATTCAATGTCAAGAATACCCTTATAGATTGGAGGACAAAAGGAAGAATTTTTCTGATGAAGATAGCGATGAGGATAGCATTGAGGACGCAATTAGCCGTAACATTGAAGTGGATGAGTTTGAAGCAGAAGCAAAATATAGAGCAAGACAACAAGGACTTAGAGCAGCATTGGCTCAAATGATATTATAGACGCACTGCCATTTAGATTTGTGGAGGGAAAAGGGTTCAAAAGGTACTGTAGTTTTCTGGCTCCAGATTTTGAACTCCCGTCTCGAGCAGAAGTTGCTAGAGATGTCATGAAGTTGTATTTGGATGAGAAGAAAAATTTGCGGAGTTTATTATCCAGTAATTCACAAAGGGTTTCCCTTACCACAGACATATGGACTTCCTCACACAATATAATTATATGTGTCTCACGGCTCATTTCATTGACAGTGAGTGGAAGCTTCAAAAGAAGATATTGAGCTTTGTCAAGTTCCGGATTGCAAATAGAAAACAATTGGTAAGACACTCGAAGTTTGTTTACTTAATTGGGGCATTAAAAAAGTTCACACGTTAACAATTGATAATGCAAATTCCAATAATGAAGTCATTAGCTATGTAAAAACAAGGCTTCGAGATTGGAATGGTTGTGTGTTGGATGGTGAGTTCTTACACATGCAATGTTGAGCTATATTATAAACTTGATTGTGAAAGAGGGGTTGAATGATCTTCATGATTCTATTGCTAGCATTGGCCATGCTGTTAAGTATGTTAGATCTTCATCTGCGAGGCTACAAAAATTTAAGGAATTCATAAAGATGGAGAAAATTCGATGCAAGGATCTTGTAGTTCTAGATGTGCCTACCTGGTGGAATACCACCTAGTTTTTGTTGGGAAATGCAATTAGATTTTAAAAAGCTTTTGAGAGGTTGGCAGAGGAGGATGGACAATTTTTGAGCTACTTTACGGTTGACGAAGATGGGGAGAAAAGGATCGAGCCCCCTTCCTTGGAGGACAGGAACAACGTTAAGGCTTTTGAAGTTACTCGATGGTGCCTCTTTGAAGTTCAATGCTTCATTTCATGATACATCCAACACTATTTTGGAGAACTCTGTGAAATCCGATATCATCTGAATGAGTGGAGTCAAAACGAAGATTCTACATTGAGCAACATAGCTGGCAACATGAAGGTAAACTATGACCAGTATTTGGCCTAAACTAACAATATCAACCCCTTGCTGTTCATTTCGCTTGTGCTTGACCCACGATACAAGATGGAGTTCCTGAAGCATCGTTTAAATCTATGTTATGATGATTCGGCAGCAGAGATGACAAAAAGCGTTGAAGATACTCTGAAGCTTTTGCATGAGAATTATAAGACTCAAAGTTCCAATGACAGTCAGACATCAAGCAGGATGGATATGCATTTGGAAAGTTAAAGAGGACGGAGTGGTTTAAAGAGAGGGAACGCCTGAATATTGAAACTGAGGTTGATAGATACTTATTGGATCCTAGAGAGGATCTGACTGATGATGAATTCGATTTATTAGCGTGGTGGAAATCAAATTCTCGCAAATGTCCAAAACTGTCGGAGATTGCACAGGATGTTTTAGCTTTTCCGATATCTACCATAGGCTCTGAGTCTGCTTTCAACATTGAAGGTCGGTTTCTTGACACTTACCGTAGCGCATTCAGTACGTGTTCTCCGATGGCACTGGAGGCCTTGCTATGTACCCAAAGTTGGTTAACATCTACACCTGCTCCTCTGGTTTTCCGGGAGTATATTGATGATTGGGACAGATATGAAGAAATTGAATTTGGTACGATACAATATGCAATTTCATTTATTCTTTTTTTAAATTTTCTCTTCCCTTGTTTTTTAACTGATTGGTTACTTTCTTATTTTCTATATTTTCTTCCTTTAGAGCTTTTGGAACAATGCATCTTAGAGGACGACCCTAAAAAGGGTTAATTTGATGCGAGGTAATTGCCCACATTGTACGCTTGTTAATGTTTGCTTTTATCTTTTGTATTTAATGAATGTAAATCTACGACTTTATATTTTTTATGCATTTTTAACCCATTTGAGATTCTTTAAGTTAGCCGCAGGTTTGTAGCTGGTTCAAAGAAGCTTCGAATTTGACTCTGTTTTGCACAATTGAAAACCTTAGTAGCATTCCTGAGTACACCTGAACTTCTAAACTCTTGTTTCGGGCTAGAGCCTGCATATGACAAACTTCGTGATCATTTTGTACCTGGTTTGTTCGGTTCACTATAACTTTGTACTCCTTTCAAGATTAATCTTTTGCAACTTAACGGCTCGTTTTGATTGCTATTTATCTTATAAGCAAGCTGAGAAAATATTAAAACCTATAGCTTTGGATTGAAAGGTTCTTTTTATTGCTAAATTTCTTTATTTTTTCTTCAAATTACAAGAAACATACAAAAGGAACAGAAAAGGAACATAATAGACATATGCAAATATACCTTGTAACACCAGATTAGTAATACAAAGGTGCATCAAGGCACAAGCTTGTAACCCTTCATCTTATCAATCCAAGTGATGAAGGAATTCTTGGAGTTCCTAAACCCCAAGAACCCATGTTCTTTGCTCTTATTCATACTATCTATCAGAGGATCCAAACCCAACACGAAATCCGCAAACCACCACACAGCCACCTCCTCAAGCTTCGTCGGCAGCAACTGATTTTCCCTCACAATCTCCTCCCAAACACCCCCTTTATCCTTCATAATCTCCGTCAACTTCAACCTCTCTCCCTCACCATCAAACCCATACTCCTCAATCCCAAACTGCTCCGCCAAAACCTTCCACAGATGCTTCCACCTAAACAGATCGCCATTGTTGATGTTAAACGCCTCGTTTCTCGCGTACGGGTCCACCGCCGCCCATATATGCTGCTCCGCTATCAAATCGGCGTCGGAAGCCACGGCGTAGCCCTCCCATGTGCCTTTAACTCCGGGGAACTTCAATGGAGTTCCCTCGTGCTTGCATATGGCGGCGTAGACACAGAGAGCTCCGATCACGTTCATCAAGCTGTGAGGAGAAAAACCGAATATGTGGTTGGGTCGGTGGACGGACCAGGTGAGGCCTTCCTTTTTCTCGACCTCCTCGAAGAGAATGTCTTCGAGGGTATAGTAGAAGTTGGGGACGTTGAGCCTCGGCATGTCCTCGGTGAATGGCGGTTCGTGAGCCTGGATCTGGCCCATGGACTCGAAAGGGCCCATGTAGTGCTTGGCCCCCGTCTGGAGGCAGATGTGGCGGAGGTTGGGGGCGCTAGGCATCAACGCGCCGAGGACGTTCCGGAGCATGGCGCCGTTGGCAGCGCAATTCTCGGATTCCGACTGGCGGTTGGTCCACGTGACGTAGAACACGTGGGTGACGTCGGTTAAGGGGGAGAGCTTGGCCTGGGCGTCGTCTGGGTCGGAGATGTCGCACTGGATGTACTCGATTGGGTGGTCGGCGTTCCAGGCCGGCTGGGGCCGACGCGCCACGCCGTACACTTTCCATGGACCGCCGGGGGTGTCCGAGAGAGGCAGGATTTCGGCGAGGCTGTTCCCCACGATTCCGGTCACGCCGACTACCAGCCCCACGCTCTGGATGGTTCCGGATGGTTCATCTTCTTCTAATTTCTTCTACAAAAACAAAAACAAAAAGACAAAAAAACAATAATTTGTTATGATTTTAGTATGTTTAGGAATTTGGAATGAAAATAAGAAGAGGGAGTTAGTTCTTGCCTTGGCAGCCGCGATGGCTCCAGCCCACCACCAGCTCATTTTTGAGTTGGGACGACGGAGAAGTGAGCGGTGGTACAGAACACAGAACAGAGACTTGAGTGAATTGTGGTTTCTGATACAAAGCTCTGAGCTAGGGTCTTAAGGCAGAGCTAGAAAATATGAAAGGTGAAAAAAAAAAAAAACAAAAAAGTAGTTAGAAGGAGATGGGTCCAAATGAGTGATGGTGAGAGGCTTTGGTTTCAAGTTCGTTCCAGAAGGAGACGGGTCCATGTTGGTATTCAATTCTCGCGCCATGACACGAGCCGTGACGTCTCCCTATCTTAGACTAGGCCCAATCATTTATGGCCCACTTCGATATATGAGCTTTCTTGATCTGTTGGGTTCCGAGTTTCTCCCTCTAGAGTCTTGCGCATGAGATTTCCATGGGTTTAGAATCATTTACATTTTTTTAGTTATGATTATTTAAGTTCAGATCTTGATTTAAGTTAAAATATATTTGAATATAGTTTGAATTGAGACTCTAATTTGAGTTTGTGTTTAGATTTTCATATTTTGAGTTATAATTTAAATTGAGAATCTATTTGAGTTTGTATATGGGTGGGTCAAAACTTGTATTTATATTTATATAGTATTTTAATAAAAACTCTATGGTGATGGAAAATTTTAATAGGGTATATGAGTGGGGTTTTATTTATTTTTTCGTTGTGAATGCATAGAAAAAAATCATCTCAATTGGAATCAAAACGAAAAAGCTATGGCGTTTTTAAGAATAGAAAAAATATTGTTCATTAATTTGAGTTTGAGTTTAGAAATTTGAGTTGAAGGAGGAACTTGAACTTAGATTTTAGCCTCAAACTCAAGTTAAAACTCAAGTTCAAACTCAAGTTCAAACTCAAGTTTTACAAAAAAAAACATGCACTTGAATAAAGTTGTAACTTGAGTTCAAACTTTTTTCAGTTTGATTGCAAATGAACAAGCCATTAATATCTTGTGTTTTTGAACAAGCCATTAATATCTTGTGTTTTTGAATTTATTCAAAAATTATACTTTAAGTTTTTGATCTCATAAAATGTATATCTTTAAATTATATTTAATACCTAAATTTATACATTTCCACACCAACCCTTAATTTTAACCTTAGAAATACCTATAATACCCTTGAATAAAAAAAAGAAAAAAAAACTAAAAAAACCTTAACTTATAATTTTGACCTTAAAAATATACAAAATACAATTGAAATGGATTTTTTTTGTGTTTTAAATTTTTATTGTTTGTAGTGTTGGAAAGTTTCTTTTCTCACTTTTTTTTTTGGGATAATTTTTTCATTTTAAAGATTAAAATTAATTATTGACTGAAATAAGGTATAGATTCGTTTATTAAATTTAATTTAAAGATATATATTTAATGAGATTAAAAATTAAAAGTATACATCTTGAATAAACTTAAAATATACGGTATAAAAATGTAAATATTTAAAGGTTTAATATAAATATAAGACGTCTTTTAAGTGGGGGAATAATAAATAAATGGGATATTAAACTTGCGCAATAGGTATGGAGGATAAAGAAAAATCCTATAAGAATCTTTTTTTGAAGAGAAATATCCTATAAGACTTTTGTTTTTAAATGAATATATATGGATTTTTCTTTTCTTTTTATGGCTCAAGAATAAATAAGAGTCAGAACCTCACGAAAGACTAAAAATGGAATTTGAGATAGTTTTTTTTTTTTTTTTCCTTCCCCCCCCCTAAGAGAGAATTTGAGATGTCCAAGTTCAACCAGCTACTTTCAGAGTTTCTTCTTAAAAATGGAAGAGATCTCTTTTAAGTTTTTTAAAAATGGAAGAGAAGAAGAAAATATCTTTTTTTTTTTTTTTAAAGTTAAAAGGAAAAAACAACTCTTTGGGATATTTTTTGTCGTTTACTTTTCGTTTCCTTAGAACACGTTGAGTGCTTGTTTGATTGTAGGCGGCGCCAGATGTAACAATGTACGAGCTGCCCACTGTGAGCTCCATAATTGATATATGTACGTAAAGTTTGAATTAAGAACACTAAAAAGTCATAAATGTAAAGCTAACCTAACTTAAAATGATAATGAAATGTTCTAAGTTTTTGTCTTTATTCCGTCTGTAAGCGAAGATCTACCAAACCTGGAGGCAAAAACTTAGATTAGCCATTAGGTTAGCCCGCTTTGAAAGTTTAAACATCTTTTACTTTTTAGTCGTGTCTCAGAGCTCGTAATTAAGTCGGAAGTAAAGTATCGAGCATTTTCCAGTGAGTTCACAAAAGTACTTTGTCTTCAACTACAAATCTCGTGCGTACTCTCATTGTTAAGATGCGAAGTATGATTAGAGACATAATTTAACAATAATTTCATAGTTGACACATCATTATGATATAGACTTCAATTTTTTTTTTCTTTCAGAAAGCAAAGCAAATTATAAATGTGCACATAAAATAAATTGAATCATGCCTAAGACCTTTTAGTCTAATGGCAGTGGCACTGAGAGGTTCGGGTGGGGTGGGGTTTAAGTGGAGGGTTAAAAATAATAAATTGAACCATTGGAAGATTAATCACCTAATTACTGCTTGTTTTTGACGATCAATGCCGGTGGTTTTCGACTGCATGCCTTAGGCTTTGAGTTGTTTATTTCTTTTTTCTTTTGAAAGATTGATCAGTTGTTCATTTTTATTACTACACACTTGTAATTTTTCCAACCTTTTTTAATAATATTGTTGAGTGAAGGGCTTGATGAAAGATTAAAAATTGAATTGCTAGTGGGTTATGAGCTAGTTATGATGCGCTAGTTGCATGCTCATTTAATTTATTAAAAATTGTATTTATTGTTGTTTATGGAAGAGTTCTAACTAACTAAATGAAATCTAATTGGTAAGTACAAATTAATACGTAGAAAACATATCTTTTGGTTTGGGTACTAGTTCAAATTTGGTACAACTCTAGGTTTTAAGGGGAGCCCGAAAGCTTCAGCTGCTGATCATAATCAATGGTTCCTCCATTTTAAACTTAAAACGGTCCCCCCGGACATTTATTACTAAAGATAGAAGTAAGGAGGAAAAAAAAAAAAAAAGCAGTCAAAGATATGTGGGTTTGTTTTTGGAAATATATATCCGTGCATTATAGCGTAATTCATTATTAAATTATAATACCAAAAAACAACTATCACATGATAATAATTGCGTCTGTTATTCATATGTTCGTATATATGCTAATTATGTGGTCGAATATTTCACTTTCCATCTATATCCTTTCAAATATGACACCTATATATGGCTTGCCGATGAGAATCAGAATATTGTATTGATAAGTTCGCTTGCAAGAAGTACATCATCCAACATTTTTCCAGTTACAACATCTAAAAAGGTGATAAGATCATCTAATTTCTAATGGGGAAAATTTTGAGAATCCTTCAAGCTAAGGCCCACCACACTGGATCTATCTCTGCTCCGACATGTGGTAACCCTATTTGACTTGTGGGTCATTTCACGACAGCTCTTTTAGATATCCTTCTTGCCCTTTCCAGCTTTCTCCTATTGATCTCTTCCTTTACCCTCAAAGGTTCTTCTGTAATGGTTGACAGACCTGAAAAGTTCACACCGAAAAACACATAAAGTGATGGACGCTTGCACGGATGAACCTAAAAACCTTCATAAACTTAGGCACGCCACGTTAGAGAAAATATAAGTGAGGATCATAGTCAATACATACATATATATATATATATATACATGTATGTATAAGGCAATATTTAAATTTGAATTTCAAAAATGGTTTAGTGATCAGTTTTTTACTCATGTACCCTATCATGCCTAAAGTTAAATTTTCTTCACGTACCTCTGTTGTCTATCATATTCCTCATCATCATCATAATCTCTTTGTAATATTGCCCCTCGTCATCGTGTGACTCTTTCTTACTTGCAATATTAACCCTTGACCGGGCAGCGGCGAAAAGCCACGTGGCGTCCATCTGTTTGCTGATCATGCGTGCTGCGTAGTATGGAATCTTCACATTATTACTCCGCTTGGTGTTGGTGGTGATCATCTGATGATCCTCTGACTTGATGCAGCCGTTGATGAACATTATGCAGTCCATCAAACTCTCTTTGGCCAATCCTTTCATGTCATAAGCTTGTGATCTTCTCCACAGGCTTTTGCCATGAGAATTCGCCGGAGTTGAGAGACAAAGAGCTCGGGTTGAGTCTCTAATGGCGGAGTCTGGGTCTTCAAGCAACAATTGGCACTGAGCTCTATTGCTGTAAAGCACCATTCTCTCTTTCCTTAACCTTAATGGGCACAAAGCCAATGCTTCAGAGTACTTCTCTGTGGCTTCTTCTATTTCTCCTAAACAATATAACCTGTTAGCTTGTTGTTTGATCAACCCAACCAAAACCCTTCTCTCCTCAAGTTTTTCATCGGACAATGCCTTTTCTTTTCTTCTCCTTTCAACCTTCCAATCCCACAACTCTTCTAACGCCTTTTGAACTTTGCTACTAATATTATTATCGTTGATCAATTTCACTTTTTTAATTTGCTTATGATCATGATCCAATAGTAGTACTTTTGTGATTGCTTCTCCCAAGTTTGACCTTTCTCCAAGGTCTTTAAGCTCAACCAAATCAACGAGAAAAAAGAAAGCAACGCCAATAACTTTGTACCTGGTATCTGGGTCTTTGAGAAGTAATAGAAGACAATCAATTCCCATGTACTGCCAATCATCTGAAGACCTTGAGAGATTACAGAGACTCTCTAAAACCTCATTCAATTCAGCAACTTTTTTCCTCCCATATTTACTATAACACAAGATTCTAATGAGTCCAACCCCAGCTGGTGACACGTGGTTAGCCAATCCACCCCACATCCCGCACAGATTTTTCAAAAACTCCTCCTCACAAATAAGATTCAAAGACCTCTCTTTGTAAGCAAAGCAGTTTAAGAGATAGAGAGACCAGGATTGAAGTTGGCTAGTCCATTCCTCGGCCTTGCAATTCTCCATTTCCACCCCTCCAACCCCTCTTGTGAGCAAATCGCAATGATATTTTGGTCTCCTTCTCGTATCCTTCACTCCTACAAAATTATCATACACGACATCGACACAAGTAGAAGCTAAATCCATGGCTAATCTTACCAACTCTTCTTCGTAGGCCGATAGAGCTTCAAGCGTTCTTTCGTAGCTCGCGAGGTGACCGAGGGCTCTGACCGCAACTCGTTGTTCGACCCAGCTCATCTTCTTTCCCCTTAGAAGCTCCATCAATGGCGGAATAATGCCTGATTCCACCGCCTTCTCGGCAAACTCGACCTTGTTCATGGTATAAGAACCAATGATATGAGCAGCATAGTAAGGGATGTATATGTTTTGGTCCCAATGAAGCCACTTGTCGTCGTTGATTTTGTGAATTAGACTTGCCATGCACTCAAAAATCCCGAGGGAAGGGAACTCCGGGTCGTCCGGCTGAGTCATGGCGATGTGAAAGAGACCACTCGAAACGAGGACGTTTGCCTGGTCGTCTCGGAGAGGCATTTGCTTGAAGCAGTTTGCTAATCCGGCTCTCCTTTGTGGGGAATCCGGCTCTTTCATGGTGCAAAAGAAACAAAACGGGCTTGTGCATGAGTTTAGGGTTTTTTCCCTTTTCTTCAGGGAATCCATGGCAGGGAAAGGTTGAGTTTTAGAGCTAGGGTTAGGGCTAAGTTATATAGAGAGAAAAAAGATCAGACAGAGATGGAGGAAAGAAAAGCTGGAGTAGCAAGTGGAGTACTACTAGCCGAGTTTTGTAGCGGCGCATGTATTTATTATATATCAAAGTGAGAACTTTTCAAGCGTATTTTCCTTTTAAATTTGTAAAAGTACTTAATTTTGAGTATGCTGGTAATTCGGATAGCGACACGACGATACGATTCAGATTCCACACGAAGTTAGTGGATTTAAGTTTACTATAAATGAGTTTGGGTCATAATTAGGTTAGTACGATTAATAAATGGGTTGGGTTAAGGTTGAACTCATAACATGAATTGACATAATTAACTATATGTGTCATTTGCAATCTAATGATATGTGATATATATAACATGAATGTTTATATGACATATTAAATACAAATAATGTGAATTTTAATATTTATTGGTAAAATTTATTTATTTTTCTTAAAATAAAAGATAAATTGATCAATAAATATGTTAAATCTGTCATGACCATGTAAAATAAGTCATTCTTCTATTAGTTATTTATTTTATATATTAATTTAAACGGGTTATATGGATAATTTTGACACGTTTAATAAACATGTTGTGTTTAGATTGATATTTTTTGACACGATTAATAAATAAATCGTGTTTAAATTAATATTTTTTGACACGATTAATAAACAGATTGACACGAATACGACTCACCGGAACGAATTGTCACCCCTAATTTCGAGAAAGGTTAATAACCCACGGCTCTCCACAAATATACGGTTTCTGCAAGAGTCAGCTCTCGGAAGGTGAAGACATATTTGCGCCTTTTAGGCCATGTAAAACAAACCATATTCATAAGTGAAATATTACCTAACACATTATATAGTCAATATCTAAATGTTTAAAGTGACCAGCATTTTTTCTTTTTTTTTGCCTGAAAAGTCAAGTAACCAAAATGAAACAAGACTAGGGAGTTGCGCTATGTTCTTATTAATTAATTACAAGGGCTTTTTTTTTTTTTTCGATTCTCTTGGTGGATTATTTATCAATGTCTTTCTCTTTCATCTCCAATGGAAAATCCGAAATGCTTCGCCTTAAGGAAAGAAGTGGTCCTCACCTCCCCACTACATCCTTGCAGTTTAAATTATTAGTTCTGATTAAACTAAAGTATGTATAGCCAGATAGGGATTAGCTTTTTTTCATTTTTTTTTTTTTCCTTAAGTTTCAACCTCACCACTTTTACATATTTACTGTTTTTTTTCCCCCCTCATGATTCAAAACTCAAAAGCTGGTTTGTCTTAGGCGACGAAGGGATCACGTAAACAAGATTGCAAATCGACAGTTAAAATAGAAAATCTACCGTAGATATTACACAAACGAATGAAACCATATTGAGACAAAAATTTCCTGGTTTTCTATGCACACATGTCATCATGTTGTCTAGAACCTAGATTTTCGTTCAAGTACCTTAGTCAACACCTCTAAATCTCTCTACTAATGCTACTCCAACTCCTCCAAAAAAGCTAATTCTTTTCCAAAGCCTAGCTAGAAATATTACTTGATCAGATTCTTCCACTTGTGAAATATGATAATCCTAAATGGGGTGTGAATACAGATCATATGTGTGTGTGTGTGTATGCTTGTTGCCAAAAAGGAAGAGATAATTCGGTGAGGGACCACAACATGAAAAATGGGTCGTCAATTCTCTATTCGGTGTATACAGAAAGAGAATGTGGTCCCTTCACAAATATTCCTGATCAACCTGCAACATTCCAATAAACTATAGAACTCCATAACTAGCAAAAGCTGAATTTAGAAGAGAGAAAAGGATTAAAAACACTGTTAGTACAAATGGTGAAAGTCTCAAGAACATGCATGCGGCTACTATTAGATACTGATCAGTGTATGTCGATGGAAATTGGAAAGCATAAAAGTAATTATGTTGTACTATGATCTAGAACTTGTGTATAAATAGACAGTACTAACGAATTTTTAATGCAAAGAAGTGGTATATATTGTGCCTTACATGACTTCTGATTGGTATTGGGATGAATATATAATATGGTTTTCTTTCATTATTGTCCGTGCCCAGTCGGCGTGAAAATATATCTGTATTCTGCAATGTACTTCTCTAAGCTAATGATGGTAATTAAAGATTATATTCTTGCACATTAATCCAAACACACACCAATATATACGGGATTGAGTGAGAACTGAGAAGGGATGACAGAAGGCCTGATTGTTTCTGTCGTATCTTTGCAGTTCCTAGGGTAAAAAAAAAAATGTTCTGATTAGTTTAAAGCAGTTAAAATCTATGCATTTGTTAAACCAGTAATATTTTTTAAAAGAAGCTTCAACTGTTTTGGGCACCAATACCCATGTAAACTATAAAGATAAAGAATAATCTGCTTTATTCTAAGTTGAGAAGATTAACAAAGAAACTTGTTTGTTAGATTTGGTCGTGATTTTACTAGCCAAATGAGCGATGAACAACATTATTTTTAACATAAAACACAAAATTTCTAGTAATGTATATAATTCAAAGTTTCTAGGAGGAGTTTTTTTGTACTTATAAATCGTTAAGATTTTAGCACTAAATGAACTTTGAATTATAAGTGCTTAGAATACTTACAAGCTGTAATTAGCTAGTGAGTATAAAACGACTTTGGTCGCTGGTCCAAAGATAGTTTAATGTCTTTTACCTCCGTTTTCAGGTGTAAATTAACACTTTTAAAACTAGTTATTCAAGGCGCATTTATCAAACCGTTACGGAAAGTAATGGGAAAGTTAATGGGATTGGAATAAAAAGTAAAATAATAGAATTAAGGGTAATTGATTTCCTTTTAAATGTTTACTTAATTATTAGATGGTGTAATGGAAAATAATCTCATTTCTTTCCTTATGTTTATTAAAATTAGAAATAGCAATATTATGAATATTATTATTAAATTGTCTTTTTATACAATTAAATAATTATCGATTATATAGTAATTCATTAGGGGTAGATAAGTAAATTTAGCATACATTCTCTTTGACAAGGAATCAATACTAAAGGAAGTGTAAGTATTGATATTCCATTTTCTCATTCTCTATATTATGTGAGGCTCACTAAATCTCTATTGCTGATTTTGTAAATAAACACATTATTAGATGGGAAAGAGAATCACTCTTTCCCTTTGATGCAAAGTTAATATGCCCTCAATTAAGGGTGAACAAAAAACTCGATGACCCGACGAACCCAATTAACACACCCAACCCAACCCATTTTAACCCAAAACCGATCAACTTGACTAAGAGTTCAACCCGACCCAACCATTAATTGGGTGGATTTGGGTTGAATTTTTCTTAACCCATTTAACCCGAATCCACCCAATCTATTTATCTATATAAATAAATATTTTCCTGCTTCATAATATATAGTTTTTATCTTATATTTTACATTTAAAAAAAAACAATAGAACTCATAATATTAAAAAAAATCCAACTTTTCATTAGCTAAATATTCAAACACATTTAGAATATTATCTTTTCTCCATATTATATAGAGGTAGAAAATGCATATGTAGCAGACACATAATATTTTTAAGTTGAGAGCTGTTTGAGCACCTTATCATGTTACTTAAGAAATCTAAAAATAATACAGTTTATCATGCTACTCAAGAAAGTTAGAAACAGTTAATATAGTCCGTCGGGGCTTCCTTGTGAGCCTAGGTGTCAAACGTGCCGTGCCAGGCCGGCACGGCACATCCAACACCAAGCCCATTAAGGGCCTGGGCCGGGCCTAGCACGGCCCTGCACAGTGCAAGGCCGGGCCTGGGCCCAGGCCCTTCACGGGCCGGACCCGGCCCTTGTATTTTTTTTAAATTTAATTAAAAAAATATATCATATGCCCCCAAAAGATGTGATTTTATTGAATTGACATAATAAGAATAAGTACACATAAATGACTGCCTCGTTAAAAACCTTGTTAAGTAAAACACGTGGGGAGATCGAGACAAAACCTTAGCGAAGGAAAAAAGAGTGCAGTAGCTAGGAATAGTAAATTACAAACCTAAGTGCTTCCAGAAGATTCTGTTATTTCTAAGTTAGAAAAATATTCTTGCATTGAATCATCTGTGTATTGTTGTTTTCGTCTTTTGGCATCTTTTCAGTCTTTAATGCACATTAGCCCCTCCAAGATATCTGGATGCATTCTATTTTTCTTCTCGTCAAGAATTTGGATGCTTGCGCTAAAAGCTTGCTCCGATGCTACCGTTGACACTAGAGTTGTCAGAATGTCACGAGCTATTATGGACAGTGTTGGAAAATGATTGGTCTTGCTCTTCCACCACTGTAAGGTGTCTAGTTTATCATCATCGATTATAAAATTTACTGCAAAATATTTTACTAGTTCGGTAGACGCTTATGTTGAGGACGATCCTGTCATTTTCTCTTTCTTCTTCAAGAAGCTCCACGACGATCCTTTAGACCCCGAGCTGGTAGTTGACGATGAAGTTCCCTATTCTTTTTTACCTGTGTTGTATTTTACTTCATACAAACTAAAAACATTTTCTAACATTTTCTTAGCGTCAGCAATAGTTAGTTGCATATCTATTTCTAAATTCTCTGCGGTAGCAGTCATCAATGATTTAGTTCTATCTACTCCACACCTAGAATCTAAAATGGTTGCCAATGCATATAATATAGGACAACCTGATCAATAACTTTTAAATTTATTTTCCATTAACTTAACTATATTTTCACAAAGTTTTGTATCCCTATAATAAGAAAATGTTTCTGAAATATTAAATAGTTGATGTAAAGCTAAATTTATAGTAGGATAATAAACTTCAGAAAGTAATTCAGTAGCATTGTAAAAAACTTCTAAAAATTTAAAAAAATACTTAGCAATCTTCCAATCATGATCGAAAATTAAAATTTGATCGTTCTTACTGTTTACGTATTTCGTGATAAGCTGTGAATATGAGACTGCTGCCTTCAACATTAAATATGTTGAATTCCACCTATGTCTCACGTCAGTTGGAAACTTTCTTGGGCACATATGACTGTTCCTGTAATATTGTTTGAATTCTTGGAGCCGAGCTCTAGAACTAGATATGAATGATAATGATTCTCTAATATTTGTAAGATTAGCTAAGATATGTTCAATTCTTGCCTGAACTACTAAATTAATTATGTGACATGCACACTAGTGATGAAAAATTTCCCCTCGAAACGCTGGTTTCAAACTACGTTTAAACATGTTAATTGCAGCTGTATTAGCTGACGCGTTATCAAAAGTAATTGTTAAAACTTTATCTTCTATCCCATAAAACTCAAAAATTTCTATTATTATACTAAGAATAGATGATGCGTTATGAGGATATGGACATAAACGAAAACCAATTATTCTTTTTTGTAAAACCCAATCGCCATCAACGTAGTGCGCTGTGACACATAAATATCCAGTTTTATTGCACCCCTCTCACAGATCAGAAGTGCAAGAGACAGTAGCATTAAAAGTCCTAAAATTATCAACAAGTGATTGTCTCATTGCATAAAACACTTTCATGCAATCAGAATGAGTTGTGTTCCTACTTACCCGTTTAAATTGTGGGCAAAAGGATGTCTAGATGAATTCTTCGAACAACGCATCATCTGTAAAAGAAAAAGGCAATTCGGCACTAGCTAGAAATTTAGCTAGTGCCTCATGAACACGTTGTGCATCGTATGTAAAATTTTGTAACCCCTGTTATGTGAGTGATAGCGTTTGTTGGCGGGAGTCCACCCTCCCACCTTGGTGCAATGGTAGACATACTTTCCAATGTCTATCAAAATGACCAGTACCCCCACCCTTTTTATTAGAAAAGTGTTTTTTACAATATTTACATACCGCACAAATTTCCATCTCACCTGTTTTTAGATTTGGTCGGGGCTCCTCGGTGAAATGTTGCCATGCCGGAGAAGTTCGCGATCTTTTTCCCCTGCTGCATTCTCCAGCTTCCTCGTTGTGCACTGAAGCATTATCCACCGGAGCATTTTCTGGTTCAGTGGGGGTGGGGTTGGGAGGCATCATTTCTTCCTCAAAAAATGCTGCATCACCAAGCTCAGGAAGAGTAGTGAAATCAGGGAAGTTTGGTGCGGCCATTTTCTAGAAATTGATAAAACTTGATTGAACTTTGTAAATGAAAGAGCAAGAAAATGAATGAACGCGAGAAAAAAGCTTAGAATCAAAATCAAAGAGACAAGTTGAGAGACAAAATGAGAGTGAGATGAGAAGTTAAGAGTGAATTGTTGTGTGGGATTTAGGGTGGAATTAAGGGGTATTTATAGGGGATTTTTGGGTGGATTTTCGTATTCTTACCGGGCGGCCAGTGACGGGCCTAACGGGAGGCCCGTCACGTGCCAAACGGGAGGCACGTGATGGGCCAAACGGGAGGCCCATCACGTGCCGCTCGTTGGGCCCGTGAAGGGCCCACTAGAGCATTTGAAATGGGCTGTTTCATGGGTCGTTCCGTGGGCGTAGAATTTATTCTTAAAAGTATATGAATCTGAACTTTTACTTTTTACTTTTGATAAATACCTTTTTGTTAATGTAATTATTTGACTAAAAAGGTTATGAATCAAGAGTAAAGAGTAAAAATCATGACTCATACATTTTTAAGAGGTATTTGTCAAGATTACCCAATCTAATTGGTTAGAGAAAAGGAAAAAAATTTGAGAAAACTACATGATATTTACCATTGTCTTTTTTAGGGAGTTTGTCATGGTTGTCTATAAGTCTATTATGTTATTTTAAATAATTACGTGCAATTGTAGCCTTTTATTTTTTTTATTAATTAAATGACAATTGTTTATTTTTCAATATAGTGACATAAATAATTCTTTTTAATAGGTACCCTTAACCTTGGGTGGTATTGCTAGTTTTTTCCCAAAGATAATAGAATGGAGAAAAGAGCGAATACCCTTCGAGTCGGTCTGGATTTTTACTTCTTATTTTTTATCAATATCTTTTTTAGTCAAATAACTATGATAGGGAAAATGATACTTATCAATAGTAAGGGTACAAATTCAGATCCTCTCAGATAAGTTTAGCAATTTTCTCAAATAGAGTGACTTTTTTGTATTGACACCCTCAACTTTATGCGTTTAGCAAATTGGTCTCTCGACTTTTATTCTTGATAATTTACCCCTAGACTTTGAAATGTGTTACAATTTCGCCCAAATTGAAAACAAAGTTAAAATTTTGAACGGTTTCTTCCACGTAAACATTTAATAAGGCTAATTCTGGTCTTTTTGCATCGAAATGATCCCCATTTACAGATGATGAGCAAACAAATTTTTGAAATTGGGGAACCCTAAATTTTCTCTAAAAATGGTAACCCTCATTTTCAAAGAATGTTTCACTCATGATGTGCATATTAGGACCAATTTAATATAAAAGATCAAAATTAATCTCATTAAACGTCCACGTGAAAGAAATCGTTTAAAATTTCAACTTAGTTTTCAATTTGAGCCAAATTTCATCAAATTTTAAAGTTTAAAGGGTAAATTGTCAAGATTAAAAATTGAGAGACCAATTTACCAAATACATAAAGTTGATGAAGTATTCGTGCAAAAAAGTCCAAATAGAGTTGCAGTATTAAGGATCCAAAACATAGATCAAGTTAGGGCCAAAATCAGTTCAAAACATTCATAGTTTCAAGGTTAGCCCAACCCAAATGACAAGCTGCGCAGCTCAAGTGCTCCAGTTCATAACCCCCTGTTTTTGTGAACTGCATTGTAAATTAAATTAAGAGAAAAAAAAAAAAATTTGCCTCCCTGAAAAAATAAAGGGTGATAAAAAAAAATATTAGTGTTTAAAAATGGTATAAATCTTAATGCTCTCATTTTATAGATTTCCCTTCTATTTAGGAAGTTAGTGCCAAAGAATTAGACTGAAACTCTTTTGTACTTGAAAAAGGTAACTAAAGTGAAATCTAATTCCTCCGTGGTGGAGTTTCTCTCTCTAACAGTATGTTTGGTACGGTGGAAAAGAGAGAAAAAAAAAATAGAGAAAGAATTTTGGAGATAAAAATAAAATTTTAGGTTGTTTGGTAGAGAGAAAATAAAGAATAAAGGAAAATAAAAATTTATGGGTCCATTAGTTTTTAATCCTCCCAACTTTAAAAAAAAAAAAAAAAAAAGAGGATAGAAAAAATTTAACAAACAAATAAACACTTCATAACAATTTTAACATTCACCGTTCATCATATTTTTATTTATATTGAAATATTATTGTAAAATATTTTAAATTTAATATTTTTTTCACTTTTTTTCTCTTCTATCAAACAACATGAGAAAAAAATCCTAAATCTTACCATTTTATTTCTTTCATCCAAATATTTTACTTTTCATTCTTTCCTCTTTTCTTTCCATCACATGGCATAAAAGTATTAAAAGATAGTTAATGGCGAGACAAATATTTCCGTATAACTCACATGGGATACCAATTATGATTGAGAAGGAACACAATAACTGGGCATTTCTCGTTCTTCAATGCTTTGGCCAACTCCAATTAATGAGCCGAAAAAGAGTTGAAAGCTTATCAGCATTTGAAAGAAAGTCGAGTTATGGGCGTGAAAACGTACTTGACAAAACAGTACAAGAAGTCAATGCAAGCTTTAATCTTATTTAACAAACCCAAGTACACCCCGCTACTAATTACTTCTCACTGAACACTTCGCAACCTGTCAGAAACATAACGAAATTCCCTGTGAAAACCTCAGCATTAACATCTACTCTCCAACTTCCTCTAACAAGTATTATCCCAACTTGGGAAAAAAAAAAAAAGATTATAACCAACTATTTCGCCAAGTTCACTTAATTCTTTAATAAAACACCATATGTAAAACTACAACGCCAAAACTTGGAACTGACAGAAGTCTAAGGACATAATTTGCATTTGCTAAGAAACACCACAAACGTCATTCATATGAGTACATATTGATCTAAAGACTTGAGATGTGGGGTTGAAACCCTTTTACAGATGAAGTATACAAGAATCTCGAGAGAGAAAAGCTCCTTAAAATCCTGATTTCACGTCTATGCGTTGTAATGGGGAACAGACCTCAGTTAGTTCAATCACCATCAAAACCCCGAGCCTGCATCCACGGTAGATTTCTGACTGAGAACAAGCTGAATACACTTGATCGGGCCCGAGAAAATCTATGAATGATTGTGCTCTATGTACAAAGTTTGTAAACACATTTGAACCATGCAGAATTATTTCTGCCAGAAAAAAGTAGAAAAGGAGGAAGCAAAAAAATTCCATAGTCCTACTTTGCCAATCTACTTTCGACTTTGTCAGTTCTTAAAACTAGAATTTACGCAGAGAATCTACCCATAGACCGCGTGGTGTCTCTAAACATCCATCTTCCACGTGATATTATTGACATTGCCGTCTCGAGATTTCTCCAGTGCAGCAACTTTCGCTCGATATGCAGCTGCTGCCACGGTGGTCTTAACAGTCGGGCCCTGAGGGAGCTCACAGGCTTCACTCATGGACGCAAATCTTAACTCAGCAGGAGGAATGAAACAGTCCATTGACAAGCCAGGGACATTGAACGCCACCTCCTCAATTGTCCAAGCCTCTTCCATCCTAGTCTTTGTGTGGCTCATTGCAGTTTCTCCGAATCTGAAAAGGGTTACTACCGAACGCCCTGAGTGAGCAATCATAATTCCTTCCACAGGCCTATAATCCTCAAGGAATGAGTTGATTGTTGTCTCCCAGTACACAGCATCACCTCCATTGTTTTGAATGCGGGTCAGATGGGAGTCTTCCAAGTGGACAAGAAGCCCTGTTTTTTGGCTGAAGTAGCCAAACAAAACGTGCCTGATGATCTCTGCAGGCCCTTCACTCCGGGCCTTCAGCGTCACAGGATCAGCACAGAGCTTGAGGATGAAACAATCCTCCCCGTTGATCTTTTTCTCGCCAATGCATCGGGCATTGGTGAACATGCTCGCTGTTGTTCTTGGATCAAGTCCCTGTGACAATCACAAAGCTAACCAGTTAGCAAACAGATCCCGTGCATGGCAAGAGCGCCATTAATCATGAAAAACCGTCCATCAGAAAAGCAGTTTAACCTGAAGGGCACGGCGCAAAGGTCTAACAGGTCCTTTCGCAGCATGTGCACCAAGCCAAGGGGTGTGCCTCCACACAAGCTTGCCGTTGCAACCAGCATGGACCTTGCTGCCACCAAGTGCAAGTTCAACATACCACATGTCTGGATTCATCTGCCAAAGAACAAAGCCGCCGGATTCTGCTGCTTTGGAAGAATTCCGGCTCCTAACAACCCTATTAGCTGTTTCGAACTCGGATGCTATCATCCTCACCTTTCCCATCGCATAAGCATTGTGCATAGAATTTTGAAGTTTTTGTCCTCCTGATGCTGCCGTGTATTGCTGCAATATGTACTGAGCAGATGATGTTTCCTGCAAAAGAATCCCAAAAGATTTTGTTTAGAGGCCTTCGTTGTTGATTGGAATTTGGAATTAAAGAAGAAACCTTTAGAACCAAGCCAAAATGAGGTATCTTTTTGTTGCTTGAAAAGTATATGAAAATGATAGCTCTACTTTTGTGATTTCTGAGAAAACATGTAGTTCTGCATTTACCAAATTACCACTATGGCAGATACAGTAGGTATTAGATGTTCATATAAGAAATTTGGAACTGCCATGCACAATAAATGTTTGATATTCTACTCAGAAACCATTATTATACCCCGATCACACATACAAAAGAAGCCCATTTTTATTTGACTTTCTTGATTGTTTAACAAAATGAAGAGTCGCTCCTCTCATGTAGTGTGTAGCGACAGAAATAAAAGGCCAAAGCAACAGTGGCAAACATCATAGAGAGCAGGGGAGGAAGGTGCAGTCAAGGAACTTTCCCTTCCTTTTTTTTTTGGGTCTTCTCACCTCTTAGGCAGTGATAGCACGCGTAACTTTTTTTCTTTTTCATTTTTTTTTTTTTTGGTTCTCATAGATTGATAGCATGCGTGAAACTAAAGTAACGTATTTTCTGATAAAGACTTGTGCAATCATGAAGATGTTCTCATAAAAATATAAAAAGAAATCGACATGCATAAGAAATCCCATGAATACACGATGCACCTTTCCATCTTTTTGTTTATTCTATCTGCGCTGCAGCTAAACATGAAAAATATTTATTTATTTTAGAAAAATCTTCAAGACTAGACCCATAACAAAAAAAAACATGACGAACCGTATTTCATAACCCAAATCAACACTAAAAACGCTTTAAAAAAAGGAAGGACTTTTAGCTGAAGCAAAAATCAGAATTCAGAACTCAATTGAACCACTTAATCCTTAGTAATTGAGAAGCTTAATTAAAGTGCTGTGCACTAAGTGACAATAATACCATCGAGACACAAAAAATTGAAGAACACAACAAATATTAAGAGAGAGAGAGAGAGAGAGAGAGAAGGACTACTAACAATGGGGGTATCTTTGATGCTCAGATGAGGCAAAGGCTCGGTGGTGCTAACGTGCACCGGGGCGAGCGGCGCGCCGAGAACGCCGAGCAGCAACCTCAGATCGGACCTCTTATAGGCGGAGCACGACACGGAGGGGGCCCTACAGAGCTGCCCCTTCATCCAGTGGCCCCACCTTCCCTCCATCTTTGAATCTCCGCCGTCCGTCCCGTCGGGCCCTTCCTTGAGCGGCGAAAGCGCCTCCGCCGGCCTCAGACTCCCGGATCTCGAGATCAACACCTCCGGTGGCGCCACGTGGTTGTGGTGGCCGCTGTTCTTCCTCCGCCGGAGCAGGCTCGACATGGGGGACCCACTACTCGCCGGACTTTTCGCCCTCGACCTTCCCGGCGACAGCCCCCTCACCACCTCCTCTTTCAGCGCCGAAAAGAACCCCTGCTTTCTCTCCATTTTTACAACTCTGCTCCTCTGTGGGCTTCTCCGTTGAGCTGAAAGCTTCTAGAAGATTAGTTTGGTGTTGTAGTGATCTTCGGCCAAGCCTCTCTCTCTCTCTCTCTCTCTCTCTCTCTCTCTCTGAGGATTGGTGTGTGAGAAGAAGAAGCGACTGAAGCGAGTGAAACAGTGGCCACTATACTTACTGAAAAAGCGACTGAAATAAGAGCCAAAACGATAAGGGAAAGACCAAAAGGAGGAGAGGAGAGGAGAGAAGAAATGAAAATGGGATTTTCAATGGAGTGATATGTGATTTTGATTAAACAAATGGGATATATTGCCGCGAGACACACCACACTGTTGGCTACGGCACAGTAATCGGTTGTTACATATATGCGCTGAAGCCTCTCTCTTTCAGTTCAGTCTTTTTCTTTTTTCCTTCTTCTCCTTTTTGGTTTTTTCTGTTTTTTTTTTTTTCCCCTTTTTTGATGAGGTTTTTTCTTCTTTTCTATAATTTATAATTAATAATAATAAAAAATTAGGAAATTGTCTACTAGTGGTTGTGTGGTATTCCCTTTTTCTCTGTTTGGTAATTGGAAATTGGGCTCTATTGGGTGCGGTTTGGCCGATGGACAAGAGCATGTTTGGTTGGTTGGTTGGGTGGTTCGAGTGTTTTTGGCTCCTTTTTATTTTTATTTGTATTCACCACTCAGACAAATTTCTAGCTTTCCTTTTTTTAATTTTCTATTATATTTCTGGACGGAAAGTAGAAACGGCAGCGTTTCTCGTGGAGCCAGAAGATATGGCAGAGGCCAGACTCCAGAGCTCTGTGTTTACCGCCGTTAGCAACGGTCAAGGGTCTCGAAGTACGGTCAAACGGCAAATTTTTTAATCCAAAAAGAATTATTTTTATAAATACCCCAAACTATACACCTAATGTCAAAACACCTCCTGATGTTTCAAAATGCTTTAAAATACTCCATGATATAAAAAAACAGATCAATATGCCTTTTCTATTCACTTCTGTGTATAATTTTAACGAATTTGCTGACCTCAAACGTTGTTAAAAATTAATTAAGGGCATTAAATAATGATTTGCTCACGTAGCATATATTAAAAATTAACTAAACCAAGTAAGTTCTAATTTTATATATAAAAAAGATTGCATATTAAAAAATAACAATAAAAAAAATTAAAAAACTTCTCTCTTGCTATATTTACAACAACAACAAAAATTTGTCACATTCAAAACCTGAACAAGCGAGATTTTCTGGGGATGTCATCCTTGCATTTCAATATTCTTTTATCTTCCTAATCTTGATTTATGTTGCGATGTAAAGACCAAAAAACCTCAAATCATATCAGATGAGACCTTATGTAATTATTTTTCAAAAATCCACACAAGATTTACAAAAAAAAGAAAAAACTTTCTAAAATTATTTTTCAAACCACCCAACAACTAGACACCAAACCAACCCTCAACCCTCTCCTCCTGACGTCGACAATCCCTTCTTCAGATGGCGATCAAAAGCTTCCACACCATTCTCTTGTCGACATTTAGTAAGCCCTCCTCCCACTCGACAACTTGCTTTTCGCCACCATCACTTACTCCGGCTTCGGTGAGGGACAGAATCGAAGGGTTGAGGGGCGGTGATCTGGGTTCGAGGAATTGCGCAAGACGGCAGTTCAGTTCCTAACTAGGAGGTGCGTTAAAGAGATGCGATTGAGGGTAGAGCCGAAGGGTGGGGGTGTGTGATGGGGTACTCACCACGGTGCTTCAACGCTGATAAATTGTAACTGAGAATTGGCAACGACAGATAGGAGTGGCAATTCGTGTCACGTGTTGTGTTCGTTTTGTGTTTTGATCATTTCTTTCTAAATTTGCAGTCAATCCAAACACGATCTGACACAAAATTTTTTAAAACTGCAATACGAACACAACATGACCACTTTACGAGTTGGCACGACACGACACGAAAATGACCCATGACACGAAATTGACCCGTGAACCCGAAATTGACACGAAAATTGTATAATTTCATTTAGTTTTTTACATATTAGAAATAACTTAAAATTCATAACACACTAAAATACAATAACATCCATTGAAATTAAGCAAATAATAATATAAGATTTTGAGTATAACTATAATGATATCACAAGTTCATAATAAAATAAAAAATGTGTACTGAAAAATATATGTAATTTTAAGTTTTTTACGAGTTTCGTGTCGTGTTCATGTTAGGCGGGTCCAACCCGAAATTGACCAGTGTTTTTCATGTCAATTTCAGGCCGACTCAATTCTGACCCGAACATCTTTTTTTCTCAACCCTAACCCATAAAAATCGTGTCACTTTTGAGTCGTGTTGTCGTATCGTGACTCATATTACCGGCCCTAACGACAAAGCTTCAACTTAGAGGCGTAGATGATGGGTGGGGGGCTGGTAAGGAAAGATAAATTTCTAGCATTTTTTTAACTTAATATAAATAATGGCTAAGATTCAGTGGACTTAGATCAAGGGCCCATATTAAATGAGGTTTTTTTTTTTTTTTTTTTTTGCATTTCATATGTAAATATGATTTAATGGCTTTAATTAAGTTTTAATATTTTAATATTTATGCCATATCAGCAAAATATGTTAAATATACACGAAAATGGATAGAGGGGGCATATTGATCTATTTTCTACATATCAATAGGTGTTTTGAAGCATTTTGAAAAATCAATGGGTGTTTTGACATAAGATACATAGTTTGAGGGCATTTATAAAAATAATCATATAAAAATTAATATTATTTAAGGAAAAGAATAAATTAGTCTTTTGGTCGCGGGGTATGAACATGATTAGAAAAAAACACTTCATTATGATGGGTCTTATACTCAATTATAACCATGCTAAGCACGCACCAGAGAATACTTAGATTTCTGAGTAAAAAAATAATTGGAAAGGGAAAATAAAGGAGGGCAAAGGTATTTGCAATTAATTCATGTAAAACAAGATCCATAATTGAAAATCATGAGCTACATTGTATGTGAAATGAATACAAAGAAAAGTATGATTTCATTCTATCTATTCCTGCCTTCATCAATTAATCTTCACTACAAAGAAAGATGAATTTTCGAAGGTATTTAAAAAAAAAAAAAAAAAGATGAGCAAGCTAACTAAAAATAATTAGAGGAACTGTGTAACAAAGCAAGACGACACGGTTGCAACAGAGTATTAAATTTTTTTTTTATGGACGGAAATATAAGAAGAGACGATATTCTTAGTTATCTTTTATAAACATGTGGTCAATTGTGTCTGGCAACAGAACATCTCAATCTTAGTAGCCCTCGTTCACTTCGCGGATTCGAGTTGAGATGTGATATTTTTTTAGAGCTTTTCACTGTAGCAAAAAAAAAATTAAATGTGACATTTTCTAAGAATTTTTTACTGTAGAAACCTAAAACTGAAAACTCGAATCGGTGAAATGAACGAAATCTTAATAATTAATGAATATTGAATTGATAGCCTGTAAATAATTTTAAACGCTTTCAAGCTTCTACAGAACTCAAATTTAGGCCCATATATCCTTTGCCAAAGAGTTTATCCAAATTGAATGGTTGAATATTTTAAAGCAATTAAAAATTCGAATGGCTAAATTCCAATCTAGTTTTTTCCCATTCTCAAAAGTCATAAGCAAACTGCCATTAAAATTTAAAAAAAAAAAAAAAAAAAGCTACAAATGTAGTTAAATTTCTTTTTTAACAAATATATACATCTATTTTTTTTTTTTTTTTTGTTGTGTTCATTTCAGTTAAGGTGGCCAAGTCCGCTGCCCTGTCCATCCCATGTGCAGAGAAGAAGCGCCACCAACCAACGGCTTTACATGTTGAACTACATACTTTTGACGGCGTGAGGGAATGAAATCTTGGTGTTTCAATTTTGTGGGGCCACTTCGTGGACTTTTCTGGCCATGTGAAGAACATTATTGAATCGTGCAAAGCCAAAACGAAATCTTTGTGCAAGAGATTACTAGTTTTATTTTAACATAATACTTATATCTGTATTATTGTATTAATATGTGCATGTCATATAAAATATATGTACATCATTGTTTATTCAAATGTGCTAGACAAACAGTTATATCCAGCGCCAGCTGAAGGGGGGCCTCCACTTGCACAGATTTGACTCATCTTTCAAGACTTACACTGCTTTAAGGTTCCAAGTCGTTGGTAGGTTTATTGGAGCAGACAACATTTGAAAACCAAAAAACAAAAAGAAAGAAAAACGATAGCGCAGAAAACATTTAAGTCTCGTTTATTTTATCAACTTTAATTTTTTATTTCAATTTTATTATAGTTAAAAAAATCTCACAAAAAATTAAATTTAATTTTTTTCTGCTACAGTAAAAAATTTTCATATAAAATTACATTTTAACTCAAATTAAAAATTTAAATTAACGAACTAAACAGATCTTATATTATTTGCGTGTATTACAACATTGACCCTTCCAACGACCTAAGCACCAAAAGACGGTTGGGTCCGCCAGCACTACTTCTAAATCACGTCGTCAATCACGGGTTGATAGGTTTATCTACCAATTGCATTTTCCAACGATATTAAAAAGCAATATTCTTTTTTAAATTCGTCTTTCCCATTTGGATTTTTCTTGTGGCTCACAGGACATGGAAAAACTGGGAAAGTAAGAAGCAACATGTATTATAGAGGAGATGAGAACAAAAATAGTCGTGTTCAATGGAACATAAAGTGGTGAGAATTTCTTCAAAAAAAAAGAAGAAATGGTGAATTTTTTAAATAAGCAATAATTCATATCACAAATATTTTAATATCGATCAAATTTAATAAAATCTAAAGAAAAGTTTATGGTGGAGAAACTTTTATATCTAAGAAATTATGGTTGAGAAGTATAAATAAAATTGCTACTATTAGTATTTTTCTTTCATACTCTCCTATAGAATATTTGCCTCAAATGTGAAACTGCATGAATCTTGTATTCATTGGATAGTGATGCGGATTGAGGATTTCCATATCTAACTGCCCTTTTACTTAACAATATTACACTTTTTCCGTTCTGTAGCTCCTAAAAAAGAAAAATTAAAAGAGGCTATTAGTTTGAAGTTTGGCCAAAGAAAAAAAGGAGATAAATACTTTTTAGAGTGAATGAGATCGGATTTTTACTCATTACTCTTGATTAATATCCATTCTAATTAAATAACTATATCAATTAAAATGATATTAATCAATAATGAATTATTCAGTACTCCGGGTGTACTACGTCAGATCGTTTATGTGGTACACTCATCCAATGAGAATGTATTATTTAGACATTTTATCTATGTTAGTTTTTTATTTTTATTTTTCTCTTTCCTAATAAGTA